TCGCTCGCCGCGATTTGTATTCCCCTGTTTCGCTTTCGCAGTCAAAGCTCTCCACATTCAATATTCGAGAGCTTTTATTGGTCTACGTGATTCTACTTCGTTTCCGAGATATAAATTACAAGTACAATGGGGCATCCCAATTTCGTCTGAAATATGCGATGACAGGCTACGACTCTCAACGGATGGGTGACAAATTCCTCCTCGGTGGAGAGGAGCAAGCAGATTTATTAATAAAACGACGAGAGGCCGCTCCAATCTCGGCCGGCCGTGTAAAACGGGGGATAATTACGTTTTACGGTCGACTGAATTTGCATTTGCAATTCGGCACCCTTTAAGGGCGACTAGCAACAAATTGCACCTTGTAATTTAATGGAAATGGAAACCGCGGATTTTAATTCCATTCGGGAAACGATCCTTTCGCAGGCGAGTCCAGGTCTATCCAATTACAGTGTGACATACGTAGAATTTTCAAAATTCCAGATTTACTAATTAATAATGAAGCTGTAATTATAAATTTGCGATTTGATTAATTAATAGGAAACGCTAATTCGGTTTCATTTGCAAGTTGAAATTATAATCTTCGAATTAGTGAAAATCTTGTAGAATTTGGCCTAAGTTGCAGAGTAATTAGATGGCAATTAACAAAATAACTTCTAATTAGCACAACTGAGTGCAACTTTTCCTAACAATTAACAACTTTTACAGTCTAATTATGATGGCAATAAATTATTATTATTATTATTAATTACAAAATGTAATTAGTGTCGTGTTGAAAATTGAAATTAAGAACTTAATTAGTCACCGTTCTGCTAATTGGTGTTAATTTAATTAGATTTTTATCAAATGGGTCGATCTGTGCAATAAAACTCAAGGTTTTCCGTTACAAATTGTTTTAATAGCGACAGGCAATTTTCGGGACACCTTTACATTGTAATTAAGGTGGCGTAACTGAATTAATTACATTTAGTTCTTTTGTTTCAGGTACGTGCACAATTTCGAATTCGCTCATCACTCGCTATAGGTATGTTTAAACAATTAGTGTTTTCGATACCTACTTTGATCTCCAGTTCGCGTCCCGGTCCCTTTGCCAAAGATAAACCGGGAGAGACGGGAAGCGCGAGCGAAAAAAAAAACATCCGCTTGTGGTTAAATTACAATTCGCTCCGAATGAGTAACCCAATTTGGCGATTGTGCCAAAATTTTGGTTTATCAGTTTGCGACGAATATCCAAGGCCAATCGTTTTTCTGCTCCCGATATAAATATCTGAACAGTATTTTTTTCGCTTGTAAACAAATTAAAACGTTGCAAATTAGATCGTCCCTGTTTTTCCTGGATAATTTTAGATGGAATTTTAGTGGGACGCTTTTTTTTTTTCTAAGGCGATTTTATTTAAAAACCAATATTGACAGGTGGGCCTTTTACCTCGAATGATTACCCTAAAACTAACTCACAGTTATGAGCATTTTTGCGGAAGGGCCATAATTTTTCTTTGCACGCGGGTGGGTGGGGGAGGGGGGGGGGAATCCTTTTTGTGACCCCAGGTCTCTCGGTGCTACGTTCCTTCCCAACTGGTTTACAAGTTTCACTCGTGAAATGACAATTGATCAAGGAGGACCATTGGGGGGTGTGGAGAAAATGCCCCCCCCCCCCCCCCACAAACGAGGTGCGACGGTCCGCCCGCAAAAATGACCATAACTAATATATAATAAAGGATGATCTTTCCAAGTAAGACCACAAATGCTTCTAATCTGCGGTGTGTGAGTGGGGGGGGGGGG